GGGGGAAGCGGGACCGGCTCCATGCAGCCCGGTGGGAGGCTCCGCGCTCAGTCCCGCGTGGGGCTCCCGGGAGCGGCTTGTCCCTGGTAAGTGGAGGCCGGAGGAGACCTGAGCCTGGAGGCCCCTGGCCCGGCCCGGCCCCGCGCCCTGGCACCGACGGGCCGTCTAGTAATGCAGACGCGGCTCCCCACCCCCGGACTGACCCTGGGCCCGCCCTGCCCTCGCTGCTGGGCCCGCGTTCAGAGCGTGCCCCTCGGGCTGCCCCGGGGACGGGTCCGGGTCCGGGGGAATTGCCTTTCGGATGTGGCGCTTCTTAGCATGTCCCTTGGTTCTGCCCTACGCTTGGCCGTTTTCCTTTCCGAGATCCCCTGAGTGCCGGACGTGACCGTGCCCGGGTCCCTCTCTCCGTTCCGCAGATGGCGGGCTGGAGACTGAGAAAACGCGACGGGAAGATGCTGGAAAGGTGAGAGCCAATGAGGTGTTGTCAGACTGCTCCATGGGCCATGCTCCCAGAGTCTGGACCAGGGAAAAGCCGGTGGAAGTCAGCACGGGTTACCAATGCAGCAGAGAGAATCCACAGGGGACGGGTGAGGCAAATCCACTCTCTGCGAGAGATGTCTTAAGAAGTGCGAAGACGTGGCTGTGCACCAGAGCCCAACTCAGGAGAGAGAGAGACCGTAGACATGTGGTGAATGGGGCAAAAGCTCTTGGCAGTGCCCAGCCCTTATCAAACACCAGAGAATCTGTATGGGAAAGACGCCCTACAAATGCATTGCGTGTGGGAGGAGCTTGCGGCTGAGCTCAGCACTCCTGAGACACCAGAGGAGCCACGCTGAGCAGATCCCCCGCCATCCCACTGACTGTGGGGAGAGCTTCCAGCAGCGCTCTGCCTTTGCCAGACACCGGAGAATCCACTGGGTGGAGAAAAGGTACGAGTGTGCTGACTGGGGCAAGGCCTTTGGGCAGAGCTCAGAACTGATCAGACATCAGGGACTCCACACCGGCAAGCGGCCCTACACGTGCTCCGAGTGTGGGAAGAGCTTCTCTTGGAGCTCAACCCTTGGAGCTCACCGGAGGATCCATACAGGCGAGAGACCCCATCAGTGCAGGGAATGTGGGGAGCGCTTCAACTGGAGCACCACCCTCCTCGTTCACCAGAGGAGCCATACGGGGCAGAGACCCTACAAATGCACTGAGTGTGGGAAAGGCTTCAGTCACAGCTCGGCTCTCGTTCAGCATCAAATAATGCACACGGGAGAGAGACCCTGGACCTGCTCCGGGTGCGAGAAGAGCTTCGGTCAGAGCAAATCCCTCCTTGCCCATCAGAGGAGCCACACGGGGAACAGGCCCTATGGGTGCAGCGAGTGTGGGAAAGGCTTCCAGCGAAGCGCAGAGCTTCTCTGACACTAGGAGGACAGACCCTACAAATGTAGCGCCTGCGGGAAGAGCTTCAACAGCAGCTCGAACCTGACCGAGCATCAGCGAATCCACACTGGGGAGAAACCCTACAAATGTGTGGTGTGCAGGAAAGGCTTCAGCCAGAAATCGTCCCTCACAGCCCATCAGAGAACCCACACGAGCCAGAGGCCCTATAAATGTCCCAGTTGTGAGCAAAGGTTTAGGTGGCGCTCAACACTTATTAGACATCCGGGAATCCATGTGGAGCCCGGTTGCTCTGGGGGCATTTTCGTAAAACTGCCAGGGAGCTATGTCCTGTTAAGCAGGGAGCCTGGGGGCTGCACCAAGAAGGGCTGCGTTTGCTCTGGACCCCTCCCAAGAAGGAAGTAAAAGGAGGCAGTCCAAGACTTGAGCATTCACCTGCTGAGAGAGGAAATGTAGTTGCTGTAGAGGAAAAATCATTTTATTGATAAAAACTCATCAGCTGCTTATCTCTGAGCTGCCTGGAGAGCAGGTCCTAGCCAGTGTGCTGGGACGTGTGGGGCTCACGGCCTGATTCTAAGGCACCAAAAAAGTCATCATCAAAATAATATGGTGTTCAATGATCGCCTAAATGTGAATTGTGAAAAAATAACTGGCAAAACCTGTGTGCTGTGGGGGCGAGAGACTGTGTGGAGCAGAGGTGAGTTACTGAGGGGAGAGTGAGCTGTGAAAGAAAGCAGAACTGCTAAATTCAAATCTATGGAGCTGTAGCCCCTTCTCATTCATGCTGGCGCGGCTCTGTGGATTTCTCCTGCCGTGTTGGCCACATCTGAGTGCCGTGGAATGTGCATCCTGTTTGTGTCCAGGTGTGGACTGGTCCATGACTTACAGAAACCGAATCGATGCATCGGAGGCGAGCTTAGGCCAGTTGGGCCGGGAGCTCACTCATCCTGGGGGCGGAGAGAACAAACGACCGGCTGTGCCTCCAGACTGCAGAGGGGGTGATGCTGATCACTGGGGCTGGCTGCTTTCTCTTAGGAATGGCGTAAAACCATTTGATCCTGCTTGAAACATGTAAAATAGGTTTGTGGGTTGTTGTTTTATTTAAAAGGCCCCCCCGCCCCCCAATTTCTGCAAAGGCTCCCTCTGATCAAGGTAACCACCTCACCCCTTTCCTTGGTCCATAGCTGATGTAGGCCCCATTGCACAGGCAGGGCTTTCAGCAGCCTTGTTGCCGTCTCGCCTGACCTGTCAGAAATGCCATGTTTGGGGACGTGGGGAAGAGAGAGCGTCCAGTGTTAGCAGTGGCTGGAAGGTGCAGGCCTCCTCCAGCTGGGACCGCTCGGGAGGTTCCTAGTTGGTTTGAGGGTCAGATACGCCCACCACGGCTGTGCTCGTGAGCCGGAGTGTGTGACTGTGCTGGAGGTAGTGTATTGAATGATCCCTGTGGCCATAGGCTGTGGCAGAAGTTCACCACCCCCTAACTTGTCTCCATCCCTTTGCATGCAGCTCCCAGGTTCCCTGAAACAGTCATTGCCCCGCTTATGCCACCCACCCACCTGCAGCCTCAATGGAGAGATTTAAAACTCAACCAGCCTGTGGTCCAGACCCTCCCTGAGATCTTAGTTCTGGGCAGGGACAGGGGAGCTGCCTCCTCCCCGTGAGACTGGCTGGGAACACTGCACGGAGTCCAGTGTGTTCTGGGAGCAGCGGGGCAGTCACACACTACAGCATTTCTCTTCCTTGTGGATGATATTTCTCCCAGGCCAAGGGCGCAATGGTTAACAGGCTGGGGTTTTGCTTGGGGCGGGAGGGGGTGTTTGAACAGGCAGGAGGGACCAATGAAAGTGTAGAATTGCTGAGCCTGGAGACTTTTGAACACTTTACATAATTAACACTCACATAATCAGTGAGGTGACAGGCAAGCGTTGCGGGCCAAAGCTGGGGCATTTGCCCGTCAGAGAAACTTGCGAGTGGGACCAGTCCAAATGCCCTCAGACCCTCCTGCGTTGGTCCTGGACCAGTGAGCAGGAAGGAAAGCTCCTGCTCCCGGATTCCTAGTAGCTACATCCCCCGGGCCCAGAGGTGTGTGCCTGCCTGGACTAGGGAAGGAAGAAGAGGCTAAGGGTTTCCATGCGTTGATGGGGGTGAGCTGCCTGCAGTGGGGAGGAGATGAGTCCAGTCTGCCGTGGGGGACTGACTGATCATGAGTTTGGGAGGCTGACTGGTGATTTTTCCATTCGGGGGGTTGGCAATGCTGATCTTGCTCACCAGGTCGCTTTTCCCGAAGCGCTTGCAGCGGTAATTGTAAGTACGAGATAACTCGTTAGTAATAGCCCACGAGTAACAGCACTAGTTATTTTTGTTTAGCAATTCTACTTTCATGCTTCTACTTGTCGGTCAGGCATTTTCTACATTCATAGTTTACTCTACAGTTTAACAAGAGTTGAGTACGCAAGTGACAGTTTAGTCACTGTTAGAATTTGGACTTAATCTCCACGAACAGAATAGTGTAATGTAATGTATACCATGGGTGGATTCTTTGGTCATCCAGCTGTATTATTTAATGATGAGACAAAAATCAAAAAGTATGAACAGATGAACCTCGTACATAGCGGCGTTCCTTTTTCCTTATGAGTCTTACTTTAAATCTCTACCTAAAAGGACAGTTTAATTAAGCTTTAACGTCTCTCCTATAAAGAAAGAAAACATAAAATTCCCCAAAGCCCCCTAGTGTGCTAAACCGTCCAATCCAACTCCAGTCAAGTGACACCACACATTTTAAACCCACACGGAGTGCTCAACTGAAACAACCCAATTAAAGCAGAGCTTAGCGTGCAAAGCCAGGTTTCTTACAATCTTCATAAGAAAGTTCCCACGCTGTATTGTCAAACGCTGCTAATTTCTGGGGTGTTACATTGACGATTACAGCCAGAATGATGATGATAAATTCTTCAAAGCCACAACGGGTCAGTAGGCAAGAGATAAGAGGTCTTTGTTCACAAAAGGAGAATTCCAATGCCAGTTAAACTGAAACTGCCCATTAACAGATGTATATAAAAGTTAGGTTTCAGAGTAGCAGCCGTGTTAGTCTGTATCCGC